TTCCTACCTCCTGTTTATGTGGAGCCTGAGTGCATGCTAAGCGCAGTTCCTGTAAGTGATGACATCTTTCATGTGTGCATGAGCATCTTTGACTTACAGTAGAAGATAACATCAACAGCAGAGGGCAGTAGGCCTAGACACTGCCTGGTCTCCAGATATAGTACTAATGGTAGTACACAGGGCATTATGGGTACTGTAGTACATCATGCTACAGTCTCCATGTTCTATACTGTACTACAAAACAGCAGATCAGCTCCATGCTTAGATGAATCTCCAGCAGCTATTCACCATGCACACATTGTATAGAATAGATTCCCTTTAGATTCCCCTGTCCCGAGAATAAAAACAATCTCCCTCTTGAACAGTTTATCTTGGTCCTCTCTCTCAGAGCTTCTGCTAAGGGTTTGTCTTGGTCCTCTCTCTCAGAGCTTCTGCTCAGGGTTTGTCTTGGTCCTCTCTCTCAGAGCTTCTGCTCAGGGTTTGTCTTGGTCCTCTCTCTCAGAGCTTCTGCTCAGGGTTTGTCTTGGTCCTCTCTCTCAGAGCTTCTGCTCAGGGTTTGTCTTGGTCCTCTCTCTCAGAGCTTCTGCTCAGGGTTAGTTTTGGTCCTCTCTCTCAGAGCTTCTGCTCAGGGTTAGTTTTGGTCCTCTCTCTCTTGTTGCTGCTGTTGTTTTTGTTGGCGTCAAATCAAATCATAACATTTTATTTGTCACATGCTTCGTAAAACAACAGGTGTAGACTAACAGTGAAATGCTTACTTACGGGCCCTTACCCACAATGCAGAGAGAAAGAAAATAGAGAAATAATAATAAAAGTAATAATAAATACACAATGAGTAACGATAACTTGGCTATAAACACAGGGTTGCAAAGTTGTTGTAGATAGGCAGGTAGCCTAGCGGTTAGGGCGTTGGCCCAGTAACCAGCAGGTAGCCTAGCGGTTAGGGCGTTGGCCCAGTCACCAGCAGGTAGCCTAGCGGTTAGGGCGTTGGCCCAGTAACCAGCAGGTAGCCTAGCGGTTAGGGCGTTGGCCCAGTACCAGCAGGTAGCCTAGCGGTTAGGGCGTTGGCCCAGTCACCAGCAGGTAGCCTAGCGGTTAGGGCGTTGGCCCAGTAACCAGCAGGTAGCCTAGCGGTTAGGGCGTTGGCCCAGTAACCAGCAGGTAGCCTAGCGGTTAGGGCGTTGGCCCAGTAACCAGCAGGTAGCCTAGCGGTTAGGGCGTTGGCCCAGTAACCAGCAGGTAGCCTAGCGGTTAGGGGCGTTGGCCCAGTAACCAGCAGGTAGCCTAGCGGTTAGGGCGTTGGCCCAGTCACCAGCAGGTAGCCTAGCGGTTAGGGCGTTGGCCCAGTAACCAGCAGGTAGCCTAGCGGTTAGGGCGTTGGCCCAGTAACCAGCAGGTAGCCTAGCGGTTAGGGCGTTGGCCCAGTAACCAGCAGGTAGCCTAGCGGTTAGGGCGTTGGCCCAGTAACCAGCAGGTAGCCTAGCGGTTAGGGCGTTGGCCCAGTACCAGCAGGTAGCCTAGCGGTTAGGGCGTTGGCCCAGTACCAGCAGGTAGCCTAGCGGTTAGGGCGTTGGCCCAGTAACCAGCAGGTAGCCTAGCGGTTAGGGCGTTGGCCCAGTAACCAGCAGGTAGCCTAGCGGTTAGGGCGTTGGCCCAGTCACCAGCAGGTAGCCTAGCGGTTAGGGCGTTGGCCCAGTCACCAGCAGGTAGCCTAGCGGTTGGGCGTTGGCCCAGTAACCAGCAGGTAGCCTAGCGGTTAGGGCGTTTGGCCCGTAACCAGCAGGGACCAGCGGTTAGGGCGTTTGGCCATAACACAGGTAGCCTAGCGGTTAAGGGCGTTGGCCCAGTAAACCAGCAGGTACCTAGCGGTTAGGGCGTTGGCCCAGTAACCACAGTAGCCTAGCGGTTTGAGGGCGTTGGCCCGTAACCACAGTAGCTACGGTTTAGGGCGTTGGCCCAGTACCAGCAGGTTCCTAGCGGTTAGAGTGTTGGGCCAGTAACCAGCAGGTAGCCTAGCGGTTAGGGCGTTGGCCAGTAACCACAGGTAGCTAGCGGTTTAGGGCGTTGCCCAGTAACCATCAGGTAGCTAGCGGTTGGGCGTTGGCCCAGTCACAGCAGGTACCTAGCGTTAGGGCGTTGGCCCAGTCACCAGCATAGCCTAGGCGTTGGGGTTTGGCCCAACCACAGGTAGCCTAGCGGTTAGGCGTTGGCCCAGTCACCAGCAGTAGCCTAGCGGTTAGGGGTTGGCCCGTACCAGCAGGTAGCCTAGCGGTTAGGGCGTTGCCCAGTAACCAGCAGGTAGCCTAGCGTTAGGGCGTGGCCCATTAACCAGAGGTAGCCTATGTGTAGGGCGTTGGCCAGTACCAGCAGGTACCTAGCGGTTAGGCGTTGGCCCAGTAACCAGCAGGTAGCCTAGCGGTTAGGGCGTTGGCCCAGTAACCAGCAGGTAGCCTAGCGGTTAGGGCGTTGGCCCAGTAACCATCAGGTAGCCTAGCGGTTAGGGCGTTGGCCCAGTCACCAGCAGGTAGCCTAGCGGTTAGGGCGTTGGCCCAGTCACCAGCAGGTAGCCTAGCGGTTAGGGCGTTGGCCCAGTAACCAGCAGGTAGCCTAGCGGTTAGGGCGTTGGCCCAGTAACCAGCAGGTAGCCTAGCGGTTAGGCGTTGGCCCAGTCACCAGCAGGTAAGCCTAGCGTTAGGGCGTTGGCCCAGTAACCAGCAGGTAGCCTAGCGGTTAGGGCGTTGGCCCAGTAACCAGCAGGTAGCCTAGCGGTTAGGGCGTTGGCCCAGTAACCAGCAGGTAGCCTAGCGGTTAGGGCGTTGGCCCAGTAACCAGCAGGTAGCCTAGCGGTTAGGGCGTTTGGCCCAGTAACCAGCAGGTAGCCTAGCGGTTAGGGCGTTGGCCCAGTCACCAGCAGGTAGCCTACGGGTTAGGGCGTTGGCCAGTAACCAGCAGTAGCCTAGCGGTTAGGGCGTTGGCCCAGTAACCAGCAGGTAGCCTAGCGGTTAGGGCGTTGGCCCAGTAACCAGCAGGTAGCCTAGCGGTTAGGGCGTTGGCCCAGTCACCAGCAGGTAGCCTAGCGGTTAGGGCGTTGGCCCAGTAACCAGCAGGTAGCCTAGCGGTTAGGGCGTTGGCCCAGTAACCAGCAGGTAGCCTAGCGGTTAGGGCGTTGGCCCAGTACCAGCAGGTTAGCCTAGCGGTTTAGGGCGTTGGCCCAGTCACCAGCAGGTAGCCTAGCGGTTAGGGCGTTGGCCCAGTAACCAGCAGGTAGCCTAGCGGTTAGGGCGTTGGCCCAGTAACCAGCAGGTAGCCTAGCGGTTAGGGCGTTGGCCCAGTAACCAGCAGGTAGCCTAGTGGTTAGGGCGTTGGCCCAGTAACCAGCAGGTAGCCTAGCGGTTAGGGCGTTGGCCCAGTAACCAGCAGGTAGCCTAGCGGTTAGGGCGTTGGCCCAGTCACCGAAAAGTCCCTTGTTCGAATATCCAAGCCAACAAGGTGAAAAATATGTCGATTTGCCCTTAAGCAAGAAACGTAACCCTAATTTGCTCCAGGGGCACCGTACTACAATGGATGACCCTGTAAAACAACACATTTCACTGCTCCTAGTGTATGTGACAATAAAACATATTTTATCTTTTGTAAACAGTCCATTGTGGAACATACTCTTCATGCTCACATAGGCTTGTATTGTAGTCCAATCATTCACAGGCTTGTATTGTAGTCCAATCATTGATAGGCTTGCATTGTAGTCCAATCACTCACAGGCTTGTATTGTAGTCCAATCATTCATAGGCTTGTATTGTAGTCCAATCATTCATAGGCTTGTTTTGCAGTCCAATCATTCATAGGCTTGTATTGTAGTCCAATCATTCATGCACAGTATGTCTGTCCTTCAAGCATTGCAAATGGAAGACACTTCCACATTCTGCTCAGTGGGCGTAAAATAAAAGCTTTTTCATATACTGTATATAAAATAAATCTCCCTTTTCCCAAAGTGTAGCACATGATGTAATACCAACACAAAGTGTACAGTGTAGCATGTAATATCAATACTGTAAGATATTTATAAAGCCAACACAGTAGTGCAACAGATTCATTTGGTAATTTGAAGGAAATATTGCCCAAATCCTCCAAACTGCCTTAACCCAAAGTCCTATTTAATCATATAATATGAAAATTAGCCCTATTCTTTGGTAAAACACGTGACTTGTGTGTACAGGGAAAGATTGATTCAATATCATTTTTGATATACATAATCTCTTCTGCTATATAAATAAAGCTTGATTTGATTCTAAATAATCACAACACTACAACTTCCCCTTCCACTTACATCCCAACATAAACACATGATTTTCCTGTGTTTTATATATATTTCCACACTATGAGGTTGGAATAATACTGTGAAATAGTGAAAATGATGATAATGTCCTTTTAGTGTATGAGCTGTTTGAAAAGACCTCCTGAAATTTCAGCCTGTTTTGGTGGGATGGAGTTTTGGCCTGGCTGGTGACATCACCAGGCAGTGAATTGGTTCATAGACCAATAAAAAAAGAGTTCCAAACCTCTCTGCCAATAACAGCTACTCCTCACTCAGACCACTCCAGGACAGTCCTAGCAAAATTCTTGTTTGAGAAATTGCTCTTTGCTAAGAAGCAATTTAGTTTCTTCTTTTTGACCATTTTGATTGAAAACAATCACAGTAAGGTACTTAATTGTTACCCAGAAATGAGTTAATATTGAGATAAAACCAGCTGTTTTCCATAACCGCTTTTGGAAAACAGGAACTAGAGACAGAATGCTTTACAATTCAATAGTATAGAGAAAGATGCTAAAGAAAGTTTGAACACTTAACTTGTGGCCACTGTATTGTACGATAAATGACAGTATTGGTGCCAGTATAGAATGTGTTGTGTTGTTTCTTGTCAAGTCTATTAGTGGTGGTATTAGGGGGTATGACTGTAACTAGTATGAGGGGGTGCGGTGTTGTTATCCTGGAAGGGTGTCTTTCTTCAAGCCTTGGAGGAGGTGGGTACTGAGGCAGCCTGGTCCTCCTCATCTACACTGAGATCCAGACGCAGTTTCTCCAGAGTCTGCCTCATTTGCAAGGTGGACTCCTTACGCCTGCAAATCAAATGAGGGTGTGTGGTGGGTGTCTGCAGTTGTAACAAGTTCCTACTTAGAAGAGAGAGAGAGACGAGAGAGAGAGAGAGAGAGCGAGCGAGGGGAGAGAGAGGATTCGCCGAGACTCTCGGGCGAGTAGAGTATCGGAAGAGAGCTCGAAAGTCAGAGAGACCGCGAGACCTATCGATCCAGAATAATATCTATAACTTTACGCATTCTGCACGCTCTCTCTCTCTCTCATCTTACTCGTATCTCTCTCTCACTCTACTCTGTTCTGCTCTATCCCCTCTCTCTCTCTCTCTCTTAACTTTTTATCTCCATACTTGAGTTGGTCTCTCCAGACTGTCTCTGTAGCCTGGTGGAGGTCTCTCTCTCCTCTGTCAGTTCTCTCTGGTTCGTTCTGGGTGGTACTGACCTCTCTACGACAGCCGTCCTCTGCCTCGTCAGCTGACGTCGGAACCTTTCCCTTGGGTAGAGGGTGTCATAGTCAGTGGATCAACATCAGAGGGCTACCATTTATCTATCAAACTACACATTACACAACACTCCGAGGTATAACAGACGTTCACGCAGATAACCTTTACTTATACAGGGTTGTCTGATTAAACAATTATTTAGCAAGAGAACCTGGAAGTCATCTTACGCACACAGTATAAGTAACTTTTGTTTATAGGAACACAAATGATTGCAAATAATATTCACAGTCCCCATCTGACATGGCTCTTATCTCTACTGCTCCCCAGTGTTAGTAACTGTCCCATTTGACAGGCTCTTATCTTACTGCTCCCAGATGTTAGAAACTTCCCATTTGACATGCTCTTATTTTCTATGCTCCGTGTTAGAACTGCCCCATCGACATGGCTTTATCTCTACTGTTCCCCATTTGTTAGAATTTTCCCATCTGACATGCTTTTCTCTTACTGCCCCCAGTGTTAGTAAACTGTCTCCATCTGACATGGCTCTTATCTCCATTTGCTCCCAGTGTTTAGTAACTGTCCCCTCTGACATGGCACTTTCTCTATTTGCTCCCAGTGTTAGAAAACTGTCCCCATCTGACAGGGCTTTATCTCATGCCCCCCCAGTGTTAGTAAACGTCCCATTAAATGGATCTTATCTAATGTTTTCACCAGTGTTAGTAACTGTCCCCTTGACAGGTTCTTATCTTTACTGTCCCCAGTGTTTAACTGTTCCCATCTGACATGGCTTCTTATCTTATTGCTCCCCGGTTTTAGTAACGTCCCATCTGAACATGGGCTCCTTATCTCCACTGTACCAGTGTTAGTAAACGTCCCCATTCTGACTGGGCCTCTTTCTCTAACTGCTCCCCGGTGTTTAAAAATTTAACTGTCCCATGACATGGCTTTATCTTACGCTCCCCAGTTTTTTAGAAAAAAACGTCCCCATCGGGACATGGCTCTTATCTCCACTGCCCCCAGTGTTAGTAACTGTCCCCATCTGCCCATGTCTCTTATCTCTACTGCCCCCCAGTGTTAGTAACTGTCCCACTGACATGGCTCTTATCTTACTGCTCCCCAGTGTTAGTAACTGTCCCCATCTGACATGGTCTTATTTTCACTGTCCCAGTGTTAGTAACTGTCCCCATCTGACATGGCTCTTATCTCAAATGCTCCCAGTGTTAGAAAACTGCCCCCATTGACAGGGCTCTTATCTCTACTGCTCCCCAGTGTTAGTAATGTCCCATCTGACATGGCTCTTATCTCTACTGCTCCCCAGTGTTAGTAAACTGTCCCCATCTGACATGGCTCTTATCTCCTACTGCTCCCAGTGTTAGTAACTGTCCCCATCTGACATGGGCTCTTATCTCTACTGCTCCCCAGTGTTAGTAACTGTCCCCATCTGACATGTCTCTTATCTCTACTGCTACCCCAGTTGTTAGTAACTGTCCCCATCTGACATGGCTCTTATCTCTACTGCTCCCCAGTGTTAGTAACTGTCCCCATCTGACATGGCTCTTATCTCTACTGCTCCCCAGTGTTAGTAACTGTCCCCATCTGACATGGCTCTTATCTCTACTGCTCCCCAGTGTTAGTAACTGTCCCCATCTGACCATGGCTCTTTATCTCTACTGCTCCCCAGTGTTAGTAAACCTGTCCCCATCTGACATGGCTCTTATCTCTACTGCTCCCCAGTGTTAGTAACTGTCCCCATCTGACATGGCTTATCTCTACTGCTCCCCAGTGTTAGAACTGTCCCCATCTGAAATGGCTCTTATCTCTATGCCCCCCAGTTTTAGTAAACTGTCCCATTGACATGGCTCTTACTCTACTGCTCCCCAGTGTTAGTAACTGTCCCCATCTGACATGGCTCTTATCTCTACTGCTCCCCAGTGTTAGTAACTGTCCCCATCTGACATGGCTCTTATCTCTACTGCTCCCCAGGTTAGTAACTGCCCCCATCTGACATGGTTTTTATCTCTAATGTCCCCAGTGTTAGAAAACGTCCCCATCTAAACAGGCTCTTATCTCTACTGCTCCCCGGTGTTTTTAACTGTCCCCATCGGGACAGGCTCTTTCTCTACTGCTCCCCAGTGTTAGAAAATGTCCCCATCTGACATGGTCTTATTCTACTGCTCCCCAGTTTTAGTAACTGTCCCCACTGACATGGCTCTTATCTCTACTGCTCCCCAGTGTTAGTAACTGTCACCATTGACATGGCTCTTATCTCTACTGCCCCCCAGTGTTAGTAACTGTCCCATCTGACATGGCTCTTATCTCTACTGCTCCCCAGTGTTAGTAACTGTCCCCATCTGACATGGCTCTTATCTCTACTGCTCCCCAGTGTTAGTAACTGTCCCCATCTGACATGGCTCTTATCTCTACTGCTCCCCAGTGTTAGTAACTGTCCCCATCTGACATGGCTTATCTCTTACTGCTCCCCAGTGTTAGTAACTGTCCCCATCTGACATGGCTCTTATCTCTACTGCTCCCCAGTGTTAGTAACTGTCCCCATCTGACATGGCTCTTATCTCCACTGCTCCCCAGTGTTAGTAACTGTCCCCATCTGACATGGCTCTTATCTCTACTGCTCCCCAGTGTTAGTAACTGTCCCCATCTGACATGGCTCTTATCTCTACTGCTCCCCAGTGTTAGTAACTGTCCCCATCTGACATGGCTCTTATCTCTACTGCTCCCCAGTGTTAGTAACTGTCCCCATCTGACATGGCTCTTATCTCCACTGCTCCCCAGTGTTAGTAACTGTCCCCATCTGACATGGCTCTATCTCCATGCTCCCCAGTGTTAGTAACTGTCCCCATCGGACATGGCTTTATCTCCACTGCTCCCCAGTGTTAGTAACTGTCCCCATCTGACATGGCTCTTATCTCTACTGCTCCCCCAGTGTTAGTAACACTGTCCCCCATCTGACATGGCTCTTATCTCCACTGCTCCCCAGTGTTAGTAACTGTCCCCCATCTGACATGGCTCTTATCTCCACTGCTCCCCAGTGTTAGTAACTGTCCCCCATCTGAATGGCTCTTATCTCTACTGCTCCCCCAGTGTTAGTAACTGTCTCCATCTGAACTGGCTCTTATCTCTACTGCTCCCTAGTGTTAGTAACTGTCCCCATCTGACATGTCTCTTATCTCTACTGCTCCCCAGTGTTAGTAACTGTAAAGTGTCGTACCAGGTCCTTCTGCTCCGTAGAGATCTTATGTTCCTCCTCCAGCTGATCTGACAGTTCGTTGTTCTTCCTCTCCAGTTTACCGATGGTGTTGGTCATCACCACCTTATTCCTGCACAGGAGAACAAAAGCCATTCACATATAGAAGTCAACAAACACTGTCTAGGACCGTAGACACAATAGGAGACACACCTCTCCTCCACTCTGAGAGCGTTCTCCAGCTCCTTGGCCCGGCTCTCTGTCTTAGTGATGACATCATCCTGGACTCTGGAGTTGTGAAGTTCCTCCACCTCCACACGCAGGTCACGCACCTGCAGTACACCACAGGAAGGAATGTCACAGTTACCCCCCTCAGACAGCACAGGAAGGAATGTCACAGCACAGGAAGGAATGTCACAGTTACCCCCTCAGACACCACAGGAAGGAATGTCACAGTTACCCCCCTCAGACAGCACAGGAAGGAATGTCACAGCACAGGAAGGAATGTCACAGTTACCCCCCTCAGACAGCACAGGAAGGAATGTCACAGTTACCCCCCTCAGACACCACAGGAAGGAATGTCACAGTTACCCCCCTCAGACAGCACAGGAAGGAATGTCACACCACAGGAAGGAATGTCACAGTTACCCCCCTCAGACAGCACAGGAAGGAATGTCACAGTTACCCCCTCAGACAGCACAGGAAGGAATGTCACAGTTACCCCCTCAGACAGCACAGGAAGGAATGTCACAGCACAGGAAGGAATGTCACAGTTACCCCCCTCAGACACCACAGGAAGGAATGTCACAGTTACCCCCCTCAGACACCACAGGAAGGAATGTCACAGTTACCCCCCTCAGACACCACAGGAAGGAATGTCACAGTTACCCCCCTCAGACAGCACAGGAAGGAATGTCACAGTTACCCCCTCAGACAGCACAGGAAGGAATGTCACAGTTACCCCCCTCAGACACCACAGGAAGGAATGTCACAGTTTCCTCCCTCAGACAGCACAGGAAGGAATGTTCACAGCAACAGGAAGGAATGTCACAGTTACCCCCCTCAGACACCACAGGAAGGAATTGTCACAGTTACCCCCCTCAGACACCACAGGAAGGAATGTCACAGTTTACCCCCCTCAGACACCACAGGAAGGAATGTCACAGTTACCCCCCTTAGACAGCACAGGAAGGAATTTGTCACAGTTACCCCCCCCTCAGACAGCACAGGAAGGAATGTCACAGTACCCCCCTCAAGACACCCAAGGAAGGAATGTCACAGTTACCCCCCTCAGACAGCACAGGAAGGAATGTCACAGTTACCCCCCTCAGACACCACAGGAAGGAATGTCACAGTTACCCCCCTCAGACAGCACAGGAAGGAATGTGCACCAGTTACCCCCCTCAGACACCACGGAAGGAATGTTCACAGTTACCCCCCTCAGGACAGCACAGGAAGGAATGTCACAGTACCCCACCCTCCAGACACCACAGGAAGGAATGTCCACAGTTACCCCCCCCTCAGACAGCACAGGAAGGAATGTCACAGTTACCCCCCTCAGACAGCACAGGAAGGAATGTCACAGCACAGGAACCTTTCAGACGTGGCTCATACAGGTCGTTTAGCTCTGCCTTTCATTGCTGCCAGGGGGTTTTAAAGCTTTGGCACATATCTAAACATGAATCACATCAACGGACAACAACTTCAACCTTAGGCCCACATGCAACACTGATGTATAGATGGATCACATAGCTACACCACAGGCTGACGTCCCTGCATTGTTAGAACTGTTAGTTAGTGTAATGTACCTGTCTCTCCAGGATGATCTTCTCACTGTCCAGCTGCTCATTCACATCTTTCTCCTGGATCAACTTCAGCTGGAGCTGTTCCGTCTGTGAAGAACACAACAGTCTGTTTAGATAGATACTACACACTCACTGGGCACATCCTCAAAAAAAAAAAACCCTGTCCCCCGTTTGATGCTGTAGAATCATGATCGACATCAGAATCAAATTAGTCCTCACTGGCCAGGCATCAGTCAAGAAATCCTGGATTCAGTTAAAGTCCCAGAAGATACAATTTCATATTTGTGATTTATGAGTTGTTTGACTATATTAATTGAAGTGAACAGAGAACATAAAAAACATTGGTTCAGTGTGGCATAGTGTTGGGGTCAGAGCGTGTGAAAGGACAGGTGTAGGCAGACAGATGTACCTGCTCGACGGCTCTCTTGTGCCTGCTGGCCCATCTCTGTTCACGGTCCTGCATCTCCTCCAGGTCGCTCTCAAGATCTATCACTTTCTCCTGGAGAAAGGAGAAACACATCAACCAATCAATATATCAATCAAATTGATCTATAACACATTTTCTACATCAGCAGTTGTTACAAAGTGCTTTGACACTTAATATGTTGTGAAATATGTTATGGATGTATTGTCATGTTTTTAAAATGTATAACTGCCTTAATTTTGCTGGACCCCAGGAAGAGTAGCTGCTGCCTTGGCAGGAACTAATGGGGATCCATAATAAACCCCAGGAAGAGTAGCTGCTGCCTTGGCAGGAACTAATGGGGATCCATAATAAACCCCAGGAAGAGTAGCTGCTGCCTTGGCAGGAACTAATGGGGATCCATAATAAACCCCAGGAAGAGTAGCTGCTGCCCTTGGCAGGAACTAATGGGGATCCATTATAAACCCCAGGAAGAGTAGCTGCTGCCTTGGCAGGAACTAATGTGGATCCATAATAAACCCCAGGAAGAGTAGCTGCTGCCTTGGCAGGAACTAATGGGGATCCATAATAAACCCCAGGAAGAGTAGCTGCTGCCTCGGCAGGAACTAATGGGGATCCATAATAAACCCCAGGAAGAGTAGCTGCTGCCTTGGCAGGAACTAATGGGGATCCATAATAAACCCCAGGAAGAGTAGCTGCTGCCATGGCAGGAACTAATGTGGATCCATAATAGTGTGTGTTGTTGTGTGTGTGTGTTTGTGTGTGCGTGCGTTTGTGTGTGCGTGTGTGTGTGTGTGCGTGTGCGTTTGTGTGTGCGTGTGGCTGTGCGTGTGTGTGTGCGTGTGTGTGTGTGTGTGTGTGTGCGTGTGTGTGTGCGCGTGTGTGCGTTTGTGTGTGCGTGTGTGTGTGTGTCTCAGTCACCAGATCTCAACCCAATTGAACACTTATGGGAGATTCTGGAGCGGCGCCTGAGACAGCGTTTTCCACCACCATCAACAAAACACCAAATGATGGAATTTCTGGTGGAAGAATGGTTTCACATCCCTCCAATAGAGTTCCAGACACCTGTAGAATCCATGCTAAAGGTGCATTGAAGCTGTTCTGTCGGCTCATGGTGGCCCAATACCCTTTTAAGACACTATGTTGGGTTTCCATTATTTTGGCAGTTACCTCTATATCTACAGTATATCTCCCACGGTTCATACTGTCTACTCTCTCTATTTCTACAGTATATCTCCCACGGTTCATACTGTCTACTCTCTCTATATCTACAGTATATCTCCCACGGTTCATACTGTCTACTCTCTCTATATCTACAGTATATCTCCCACGGTTCATACTGTCTACTCTCTCTATATCTACAGTATATCTCCCACGGTTCATACTGTCTACTCTCTCTATATCTACAGTATATCTCCCACGGTTCATACTGTCTACTCTCTCTATATCTACAGTATATCTCCCACGGTTCATACTGTCTACTCTCTCTATATCTACAGTATATCTCCCACGGTTCATACTGTCTACTCTCTCTATATCTACAGTATATCTCCCACGGTTCATACTGTCTACTCTTCTCTATCTACAGTATATCTCCCACGGTTTCATAAAGTCTACTCTCTCTATATCTACAGTATATCTCCCACCGGTTCATTACTGTCTACTCTCTCTATATCTACAGTATATCTCCACGGTTCATACTGTCTACTCTCTCTATATCTACAGTATATCTCCCACGGTTCATAAAGTCTACTCTCTCTATATCTACAGTATATCTCCCACGGTTCACTACTGTCTACTCTCTCTATATCTACAGTATATCTCCCACGGTTCATACTGTCTACTATCTCTTATATCTACAGTATATCTCCCCACGGTTCATAACTGTCTACTCTCTCTATATCTTACAGTATATCTCCCACGGTTCATACTGTCCTACTCTCTCTATATCTACAGTATATCTCCCACGGTTCCTACTGTCTACTCTCTCTATATCTACAGTATATCTCCCACGGTTCATACTGTCTACTCTCTCTATATCTACAGTATATCTCCCACGGTTCATACTGTCTACTCTCTCTATATCTACAGTATATCTCCCACGGTTCATAAAGTCTACTCTCTCTATATCTACAGTATATCTCCCACGGTTCATACTGTCTACTCTCTCTATATCTACAGTATATCTCCCACGGTTCATACTGTCTACTCTCTCTATATCTACAGTATATCTCCCACGGTTCATACTGTCTACTCTCTCTATATCTACAGTATATCTCCCACGGTTCATACTGTCTACTCTCTCTATATCTACAGTATATCTCCCACGGTTCATACTGTCTACTCTCTCTATATCTACAGTATATCTCCCACGGTTCATAAAGTCTACTCTCTCTATATCTACAGTATATCTCCCACGGTTCATACTGTCTACTCTCTCTATATCTACAGTATATCTCCCACGGTTCATACTGTCTACTCTCTCTATATCTACAGTATATCTCCCACGGTTCATAAAGTCTACTCTCTCTATATCTACAGTATATCTCCCACGGTTCATACTGTCTACTCTCTCTATATCTACAGTATATCTCCCACGGTTCATACTGTCTACTCTCTCTATATCTACAGTATATCTCCCACGGTTCATACTGTCTACTCTCTCTATATCTACAGTATATCTCCCACGGTTCATACTGTCTACTCTCTCTATATCTACAGTATATCTCCCACAGTTCATAAAGTCTACTCTCTCTATATCTACAGTATATCTCCCACGGTTCATACTGTCTACTCTCTCTATATCTACAGTATATCTCCCACGGTTCATAAAGTCTAGTCTCTCTCTATATCTACAGTATATCTCCCACGGTTCATACTGTCTACTCTCTCTATATCTACAGTATATCTCCCACGGTTCATAAAGTCTACTCTCTCTATATCTACAGTATATCTCCCACGGTTCATAAAGTCTACTCTCTCTATATCTACAGTATATCTCCCCACAGTTCATAAAGTCTACTCTCTCTATATCTACAGTATATCTCCCACGGTTCATACTGTCTACTCTCTCTATATCTACAGTATATCTCCCACGGTTCATAAAGTCTAGTCTCTCTCTATATCTACAGTATATCTCCCACGGTTCATACTGTCTACTCTCTCTATATCTACAGTATATCTCCCACGGTTCATACTGTCTACTCTCTCTATATCTACAGTATATCTCCCACGGTTCATAAAGTCTACTCTCTCTGTATCTACAGTATATCTCCCACGGTTCATACTGTCTACTCTCTCTATATCTACAGTATATCTCCCACGGTTCATACTGTCTACTCTCTCTGTATCTACAGTATATCTTGCTTGGCCAGGTCCTCTTTAGACTGGGTTAAGGTTAGGGGTTATGGTGCTCTCTGTCTATACCTACCTGAGCCTGTTTGAGTTGCTTGGCCAGGTCCTCTTTAGACTGGGTTAAGGTTAGGGGTTATGGTGCTCTCTGTCTGTACCTACCTGAGCCTGTTTGAGTTGCTTGGCCTGGTCCTCTTTAGCCTGGGTTAAGGTTAGGGGTTATGGTGCTCTCTGTCTGTACCTACCTGAGCCTGTTTGAGTTGCTTGGCCAGGTCCTCTTTGGTCTGTGCAGCAGTCTGTAGCTCTATCGTCAGGTCCTCTACGCTCCTCTCTGCCTGCTTCCACTGCAGCTGGACTCTCTCCCTCAGCTGGATCTCCTCCTCCAGGGACCGCTCCTTATCTATCAGTTTACCTGACACCTGATGACAACACATACAGTTATCTATCAGTTTACCTGACACCTGATGACAACACATACAGTTATCTATCAGTTTACCTGACGACAACACATACAGTTATCTATCAGTTTACCTGACACCTGATGACAGCACATACAGTTATCTATCAGCTTACCTGACACCTGATGACAACACATACAGTTATCTATCAGTTTACCTGACACCTGATGACAACACATACAGTTATCTATCAGTTTACCTGACACCTGATGACAACACATACAGTTATCTATCAGCTTACCTGACACCTGATGACAACACATACAGTTATCTATCAGTTTACCTGACACCTGATGACAGCACATACAGTTATCTATCAGTTTACCTGACACCTGATGACAACCACATACAGTTTATCTATCAGTTTACCTGACACCTGTTGACAACACATACAGTTATCTATCAGTTTACCTGACACCTGATGACAGCACATACAGTTATCTATCAGTTTACCTGACACCTGATGACAACACATACAGTTATCTATCAGTTTACCTGACACCTGATGACAACACATACAGTTATCTATCAGTTTACCTGACACCTGATGACAGCACATACAGTTATCTATCAGTTTACCTGACACCTGATGACAACACATACAGTTATCTATCAGCTTACCTGACACCTGATGACAAACACATACAGTTATCTATCAGTTTACCTGACACCTGATGACAGCACATACAGTTATCTATCAGTTTACCTGACACCTGATGACAACACATACAGTTATCTATCAGTTTACCTGACACCTGATGACAACACATACAGTTATCTATCAGTTTACCTGACACCTGATGACAACACATACAGTTATCTATCAGTTTACCTGACACCTGATGACAACACATACAGTTATCTATCAGTTTACCTGACACCTGATGACAACACATACAGTTATCTATCAGCTTACCTGACACCTGATGACAACACATACAGTTATCTATCAGTTTACCTGACACCTGATGACAACACATACAGTTATCTATCAGTTTACCTTGACACCTGACAAAGTATAACATAATGTAATAAATATATACAACACACGGAGTGTAATAAAGAATATTATACTCATATGTAAATCAGAAAAATCACATATGGACACACATTTTACAGTGTGGGTGAAGTAGGCGACACAATCCCGATTGCTGTAACCACATGGGTGTCGGCTTAAGCAGAAATGACTTTCAAAAAGTAAATCTCAAGCGCAAATGATCTGCCTTTGACTTTAGTAAGGCCTACGCCATGCATGGTGACCAGGGCCTGTAAGATCTATGTCCTTATCTACCTGTCTACCTAACCCTAACCCCCCTAACCCTAACTGTAAGGCCTTTATAACCCTGGTCAGTATTGTACCTGTCCCTGCAGGCGGCTGACAGTCTGTATAACCCTGGTCAGTATTGTACCTGTCCCTGCAGGCGGCTGACAGTCTGTATAACCCTGGTCAGTATTGTACCTGTCCCTGCAGGAGGCTGACAGTCTGTATAACCCTGGTCAGTATTGTACCTGTCCCTGCAGGAGGCTGACAGTCTGTATAACCCTGGTCAGTATTGTACCTGTCCCTGCAGGAGGCTGACAGTCTGCTGGGCTGTCTGTAGCTCCTGACCCCTCTCCAGTAGGGTCTCTTCCAGCTCCTCCACCCTCAGCAGGGCGTCATCTCGTAGCTTCTGGTGCAGACTGAGCTCTGCTGAGGCCTGGGTGGCTTTCTGTAGGGCCTCTCCTAGCTGTGGAGGGAGAGGGACTATAACGTCACGCACATATACACAGGAAATTCTCCAGGGTTAAATCAACAACTGAGAGTGTTACCATTTAACACTGGTCCAGTGTCTATACGGGTCTGCCCTTTTCAGTGTTAAATTAACACAACGCTTAGTGCCAAGCCTTATTTGCATATTTCCCAGAGGGCCTTGACCTTCGAGTGAATTGTAGAGTTACCACCCATGACTGTGTTTGTTAGTGACACGGTTGTTGCATTCATTCATTTTCAGTCCTGTGGCCTTCACCAAGTGAGATCCTAAGCGAATATATTTTTCATAAAAAATTTAATTCCTTACAACACAACACATATTTCATGAGGCAGTATTTTGAGGGCCTAGTTTTACCCTAATACGGTGGTCTGAAAGTCATGGTTTACAGACCACATCAGGCCTGCAAGTCACTTTATGCTGGCTTGCAAAGGGATGTGTAATTCCTATTGGAATCCAGCCAGAGTGGGGCTATCCAACATTTAGAATGTTTTATTCACCCGCAACCTGCATTTAGAATGACTGACAGGATTGGGAAGACTAAGATATGAGGCTACCTCAAGTATCTAAACTGGAAACAACCATTACAGTAACGGGAACAAGTCCAACTAACAGATTGGATTAGTTTAGAAACATTTATGTTATTTATATTTGAGTAGCATAAGATTAATTAATCAATCAATGTACATGCAAAAACATAGATATTGAAACAAACAAAAAAATCTACCTGCAATAGAGCATGCTGGGAAATATGATAATGATGGGCGTGGTTTTGTTTTAACACTGGTTATTAACACCAACACTGGGGTTATTTTACACCAATGAGTGTTAATTTAACACTTACAGAGTTAATGTAACTCCTGAATCAACACGAGAAATGTTACACTAATTCAATTTCAAATTTCAACAATCTTCAAGTTATGGAGTTGGAATTGAATTGGAATTAGAATGTTTGGAATGTTTTAATTGGAATTAATTGGAATTGTAAAAAAAAATACAAAAATATTTTGAATTTAACTGAATTGGAATTTAATAGTTGTTCATTTCCCAGTTAATGGAATTAATGGATTTAGTATAACAAAAGTACTGCATGATTTGTTTTAAATCATTTCAACTTCTATTTCTATATTCCCTGAAAGCCTGAGGGAATTTAATTTGAATACCTAACAATGGAATTGAGAGGAAATGTATTATCTCTGAATTTAAAGACTGTCCTGGACTTTGATTAGTATTAAATGTAATTTACAGGGAGAGGGAATTTAATTAGAATTTAATTTGCGGAATTAACCACAACCCTTGAAGCTACATTATAGGTGTGTAAAGTGAACAGTACTGTACCTCAGTCTCCAGTCTGAAGACTGACTCTGATCTCTCTCTCTCACACACACACACACACACAGACTTTACTACACGTATGAGTATAACACCGTAACTGTACCTCAATCTCTAGTCTGAAGACGGTGTCGCTGAGCTCTGATGTCCTCTTGTCCCGTGTCTCCTTGTCCACCTCTAGCTCCTCCAACTGTCTCTCAGACAGCCACAGCTTCTCCGACAGGCCCTGGGCATGGAGCGACTGCTTCTCTAGTGCCTCCTATAGGGGGACAGATACACATGATGTGGGACAGGCACAGAGGCTGGGGCTGAAATGGAACCCTACTCGCTACATAGTGCACTAATAGGGAACAGGGTGCCATTTCTGGATGCACAGAGGGGCTCACACAGGGTCAGGGCAAACACATAGGCCCAGCTAACTGACTGAGGTCTGTGGTAGAATAGGCCCAGCTAACTGACTGAGGTCTGTGGTAGAATAGGCCCAGCTAACTGACTGAGGTCTGTGGTAGAATAGGCCCAGCTAACTGACAGGTCTGTGGTAGAATAGGTCCAGCTAACTGACTGGGGTCTGTGGTAGAATAGGCCCAGCTAACTGACTGAGGTCTGTGGTAGAATAGGCCCAGCTAACTGACTGGGGTCTGTGGTAGAATAGGCCCAGCTAACTGACTGAGGTCAGTGGTAGAATAGGTCCAGCTAACTGACTGGTCTGTGGTAGAATAGGCCCAGCTAACTGACTGAGGTCTGTGGTAGAATAGGCCCAGCTAACTGACTGAGGTCTGTGGTAGAATAGGTCCAGCTAACTGACTGAGGTCTGTGGTAGAATAGGCCCAGCTAACTGACTGAGGTCTGTGGTAGAATAGGTCCAGCTAACTGACTGAGGTCTGTGGTAGAATAGGCCCAGCTAACTGACTGAGGTCTGTGGTAGAATAGGCCCAGCTAACTGACTGAGGTCTGTGGTAGAATAGGTCCAGCTAACTGACTGAGGTCTGTGGTAGAATAGGCCCAGCTAACTGACAGGTCTGTGGTAGAATAGGTCCAGCTAACTGACTGAGGTCTGTGGTAGAATAGGTTCAGCTAACTGACTGAGGTCTGTGGTAGAATAGGCCCAGCTAACTGACAGGTCTGTGGTAGAATAGGTCCAGCTAACTGACAGGTCTGTGGTAGAATAGGTCCAGCTAACTGACTGGGGTCTGTGGTAGAATAGGCCCAGCTAACTGACAGGTCTGTGGTAGAATAGGTCCAGCTAACTGACAGGTCTGTGGTAGAATAGGTCCAGCTAACTGACTGGGGTCTGTGGTAGAATAGGTCCAGCTAACTGACTGAGGTCTGTGGTAGAATAGGTTCAGCTAACTGACAGGTCTGTGGTAGAATAGGCCCAGCTAACTGACAGGTCTGTGGTAGAATAGGCCCAGCTAACTGACAGGTCTGTGGTAGAATAGGTCCAGCTAACTGACAGGTCTGTGGTAGAATAGGTCCAGCTAACTGACTGAGGTCTGTGGTAGAATAGGTCCAGCTAACTGACAGGTCTGTGGTAGAATAGGCCCAGCTAACTGACTGAGGTCTGTGGTAGATAGGCCCAGCTAACTGACTGAGGTCTGTGGTAGAATAGGTCCAGCTAACTGACTGAGGTCTGTGGTAGAATAGGCCCAGCTAACTGACTGAGGTCTGTGGTAGAATAGGTTCCAGCTAACTGACAGGTCTGTGGTAGAATAGGCCCGCTAACTGACTGAGGTATGTGGTAGAATAGGCCCAGCTAACTGACTGAGGTCTGTGGTAGAATAGGTTCAGCTAACTGACAGGTCTGTGGTAGAATAGGCCCAGCTAACTGACTGAGGTCTGTGGTAGAATAGGTTCAGCTAACTGACTGAGGTCTGTGGTAGAATAGGCCCAGCTAACTGACTGAGGTCAGTGGGTAGAATAGGTTCCAGCTAACTGACTGAGGTCTGTGGTAGAATAGGCCCAGCTAACTGACAGGTTCTGTGGTAGAATAGGCCCAGCTAACTGACTGAGGTCTGTGGTAGAATAGGCCCAGCTAACTGACTGAGGTCTGTGGTAGAATAGGTCCAGCTAACTGACTGAGGTCTGTGGTAGAATAGGCCCAGCTAACTGACAGGTCTGTGGTAGAATAGGCCCAGCTAACTGACTGGGGTCTGTGGTAGAATAGGTCCAGCTAACTGACTGAGGTCTGTGGTAGAATAGGCCCAGCTAACTGACAGGTCTGTGGTAGAATAGGCCCAGCTAACTGACTGAGGTCTGTGGTAGAATAGGCCCAGCTAACTGACTGAGGTCTGTGGTAGAATAGGTTCAGCTAACTGACTGAGGTCTGTGGTAGAATAGGTTCAGCTAACTGACAGGTCTGTGGTAGAATAGGTCCATCTAACTGACAGGTCTGTGGTAGAATAGGCCCAGCTAACTGACAGGATCTGTGGTAGAAATAGGTCCACTAACTGACTGAGGTCTGTGGTAGAATAGGCCCAGCTAACTGACAGGTCTGTGGTAGAATAGGTCCAGCTAACTGACAGGTCTGTGGTAGAATAGGCCCAGCTAACTGACAGGTCTGTGGTAGAATAGGTTCAGCTAACTGACAGGTCTGTGGTAGAATAGGCCCAGCTAACTTGTAGAATAGGCCCAGCTAACTGAAGGTCTGTGGTAGAATAGGCCCAGCTAACTGACTGAGGTCTGTGGTAGAATAGGTCCAGCTAACTGACAGGTCTGTGGTAGAATAGGCCCAGCTAACTGACTGAGGTCAGTGGTAGAATAGGTCCAGCTAACTGACAGGTCTGTGGTAGAATAGGCCCAGCTAACTGACTGAGGTCTGGTGGTAGAATAGGCCCAGCTAACTGACTGAGGTCTGTGGTAGAATAGGCCCAGCTAACTGACAGGTCTGTGGTAGAATAGGTTCAGCTAACTGACAGGTCTGTGGTAGAATAGGTCCAGCTAACTGACTGAGGTCTGTGGTAGAATAGGTCCAGCTAAATGACTGAGGTCTGTGGTAGAATAGGTCCAGCTAACTGACTGAGGTCTGTGGTAGAATAGGCCCAGCTAACTGACTGAGGTCTGTGGTAGAATAGGTCCAGCTAACTGACTGAGGTCTGTGGTAGAATAGGTCCAGCTAACTGACAGGTCTGTGGTAGAATAGGTCCAGCTAACTGACAGGTCTGTGGTAGAATAGGCCCAGCTAACTGACTGAGGTCTGTGGTAGAATAGGTCCAGCTAACTGACAGGTCTGTGGTAGAATAGGTCCAGCTAACTGACAGGTCTGTGGTAGAATAGGCCCAGCTAACTGACAGGTCTGTGGTAGAATAGGCCCAGCTAACTGACTGAGGTCTGTGGTAGAATAGGTCCAGCTAACTGACAGGTCTGTGGTAGAATAGGCCCAGCTAACTGACTGAGGTCTGTGGTAGAATAGGTCCAGCTAACTGACTGAGGTCTGTGGTAGAATAGGTCCAGCTAACTGACAGGTCTGTGGTAGAACAGGTCCAGCTAACTGACAGGTCTGTGGTAGAATAGGCCCAGCTAACTGACTGAGGTCTGTGGTAGAATAGGTCCAGCTAACTGACAGGTCTGTGGTAGAATAGGTCCAGCTAACTGACAGGTCTGTGGTAGAATAGGCCCAGCTAACTGACAGGTCTGTGGTAGAATAGGTCCAGCTAACTGACTGAGGTCTGTGGTAGAATAGGTCCAGCTAACTGACTGAGGTCTGTGGTAGAATAGGCCCAGCTAACTGACAGGTCTGTGGTAGAATAGGTCCAGCTAACTGACTGGTCTGTGGTAGAATAGGCCCAGCTAACTGACTGAGGTCTGTGGTAGAATAGGCCCAGCTAACTGACTGAGGTCTGTGGTAGAATAGGTTCAGCTAACTGACTGAGGTCTGTGGTAGAATAGGCCCAGCTAACTGACTGAGGTCTGTGGTAGAATAGGTCCAGCTAACTGACTGAGGTCTGTGGTAGAATAGGTTCAGCTAACTGACAGGTCTGTGGTAGAATAGGTCCAGCTAACTGACTGAGGTCTGTGGTAGAATAGGCCCAGCTAAATGACTGAGGTCTGTGGTAGAACAGGTCCAGCTAACTGACTGAGGTCTGTGGTAGAATAGGTCCAGCTAACTGACTGGTCTGTGGTAGAATAGGCCCAGCTAACTGACAGGTCTGTGGTAGAATAGGCCCAGCTAACTGACTGAGGTCTGTGGTAGAATAGGTCCAGCTAACTGACTGGTCTGTGGTAGAATAGGTCCAGCTAACTGACAGGTCTGTGGTAGAATAGGTCCAGCTAACTGACAGGTCTGTGGTAGAATAGGTCCAGCTAACTGACAGGTCTGTGGTAGAATAGGTCCAGCTAACTGACAGGTCTGTGGTAGAATAGGCCCAGCTAACTGACTGAGGTCTGTGGTAGAATAGGTCCAGCTAACTGACAGGTCTGTGGTAGAATAGGTCCAGCTAACTGACAGGTCTGTGGTAGAATAGGCCCAGCTAACTGACTGAGGTCTGTGGTAGAATAGGTCCAGCTAACTGACTGAGGTCTGTGGTAGAATAGGCCCAGCTAACTGACTGAGGTCTGTGGTAGAATAGGCCCAGCTAACTGACAGGTCTGTGGTAGAATAGGCCCAGCTAACTGACTGAGGTCTGTGGTAGAATAGGCCCAGCTAACTGACAGGTCTGTGGTAGAATAGGTCCAGCTAACTGACAGGTCTGTGGTAGAATAGGCCCAGCTAACTGACTGAGGTCTGTGGTAGAATAGGCCCAGCTAACTGACTGAGGTCTGTGGTAGAATAGGTCCAGCTAACTGACTGGTCTGTGGTAGAATAGGCCCAGCTAACTGACAGGTCTGTGGTAGAATAGGTCCAGCTAACTGACAGGTCTGTGGTAGAATAGGTCCAGCTAACTGACAGGTCTGTGGTAGAATAGGTCCAGCTAACTGACTGAGGTCTGTGGTAGAATAGGCCCAGCTAACTGACAGGTCTGTGGTAGAATAGGTCCAGCTAACTGACTGAGGTCTGTGGTAGAATAGGTCCAGCTAACTGACAGGTCTGTGGTAGAATAGGTCCAGCTAACTGACAGGTCTGTGGTAGAATAGGTCCAGCTAACTGACAGGTCTGTGGTAGAATAGGTCCAGCTAACTGACAGGTCTGTGGTAGAATAGGTCCAGCTAACTGACTGGTCTGTGGTAGAATAGGCCCAGCTAACTGACTGAGGTCTGTGGTAGAATAGGTCCAGCTAACTGACAGGTCTGTGGTAGAATAGGCCCAGCTAACTGACTGAGGTCTGTGGTAGAATAGGTCCAGCTAACTGACTGAGGTCTGTGGTAGAATAGGCCCAGCTAACTGACTGAGGTCTGTGGTAGAATAGGCCCAGCTAACTGACAGGTCTGTGGTAGAATAGGCCCAGCTAACTGACTGAGGTCTGTGGTAGAATAGGCCCAGCTAACTGACAGGTCTGTGGTAGAATAGGTCCAGCTAACTGACAGGTCTGTGGTAGAATAGGCCCAGCTAACTGACTGAGGTCTGTGGTAGAATAGGTCCAGCTAACTGACTGAGGTCTGTGGTAGAATAGGCCCAGCTAACTGACTGAGGTCTGTGGTAGAATAGGCCCAGCTAACTGACAGGTCTGTGGTAGAATAGGTCCAGCTAACTGACTGAGGTCTGTGGTAGAATAGGCCCAGCTAACTGACTGAGGTCTGTGGTAGAATAGGCCCAGCTAACTGACTGAGGTCTGTGGTAGAATAGGCCCAGCTAACTGACTGAGGTCTGTGGTAGAATAGGCCCAGCTAACTGACAGGTCTGTGGTAGAATAGGTCCAGCTAACTGACTGAGGTCTGTGGTAGAATAGGTCCAGCTAACTGACAGGTCTGTGGTAGAATAGGTCCAGCTAACTGACAGGTCTGTGGTAGAATAGGTCCAGCTAACTGACAGGTCTGTGGTAGAATAGGTCCAGCTAACTGACAGGTCTGTGGTAGAATAGGTCCAGCTAACTGACTGGTCTGTGGTAGAATAGGCCCAGCTAACTGACTGAGGTCTGTGGTAGAATAGGTCCAGCTAACTGACAGGTCTGTGGTAGATTCTGATTATAGAGAAGCCTGTACTGTACCTCGGCATCCTGTATCTTATTCTTCAGAGACTGCTGCAGGAAGTTGAAGGCATATTCCTGAGTGTTAGCCTCCACCATCAGGTCTCTGGCCTCGGTCATCTCCGTCTGGAGGATACATACATGACATCAGCTCTCTGTGACATCCTCCGTGTTTCAACACTTAGAAAAGACAATCACCAGTGCTTGACTTGGACTGAAATAGGTTCCGGTACTCATTTTGGGTTCCGGTACTGTTTATATTTAGGTACAGAAGCTCCACAATATTTTTGAGCTAATATTCTAGGACATTTGAGGCGCTGGTACATTCACAATTTAGCAGACGCTCTTATCCATAGTGACTTACAGGAGCAAATTAGGGTTGAGTAGCTTGCTCAAGGGCACATCGACAGATTGTTCACCTAGTCAGCTCAGGGATTCGAACCAGCGACCTTTCAGTTACTGGCCCAATGCTCTTAACCTGAACTCTTTGAGAGTCAGTTAAAGGATGAGCTTGTGTGTTGGAAGATAATCCTTCTATCCAGCTCCATTAAAGAGTCTCAGAAGAATATACACGGTGTAGTTTCTGTGTAGTCCAGATGTACACGGTGTTTCTGTGTAGCCCAGTCCAGTAGCCTACCTCCATTACTCTGAAGCGTTCCGTCATGGCCATGTTGTCTCTCTCCAGCTCTATCATCCTCTCCCTCATCCTCTTCATCTCAATCTTGGATTGATAAGGAGACAGGACATTACGTTAGCTTCAGGAACCTCTTTACTAGCCTCGGAACCAGTCTGTTTGTGCCATCATGCCACTCCTTACCAAGACAAGGAGTGGCAAGGAGTGGTATCACGGCGCAAACAGACTGCACCCAGGCAACATCTTTACTGAGATCAAACCAGATATGTTACACAGAGCATTCTGGGTAGTGTAGTCCATCATGCTACACACCTGCAGGGTACTGTTGGTTCTGAGAAGGTCCTCGTTGTTCACCAACAGGCTTCTCATCTCCAGCCTGATCTGGTTCCTCTCCTTGTCCATCTCTACACTCTCTGCCTCCAGGAACTGGTTCCTCTGTGGATAGGAGGGGGACACAGAGGATATGAGGGAGGGAGAGAGGGAGAGGGAGAGAGGGAGAGAGGGAGAGAGGGAGAGAGGGAGAGAGGAGAGAGGATGAGAGGGGAGAGAGGGAGATGAGAGAGCGAGAGAGAAGACGAGAGGAGAGGCGAAGAGAGGAGTCAGAGAGGAGCGCGAGAGGGACGGAGAGGAGAGAGTAGAGAGAGAGAGAAGAGAGCAGAGAGACAGAGAGACAGAGAGCCAGAGGAGACCGAGGAGAGATGGAGAGAGAGGTAGGAGAAGAGAGCTGGAGAGAGAAGAGAGCGAGAGGGGGGGGATGAGAGTGTCTCTTCATACTGTACCTTCTGACAGGCATCCATCTGTCTGGTCAGCTCCTCGATGTAGTCTCTCTTGTTGGGCATAGCGACAGACGACACAGTGGGCCGCATGGGGAGATGGCTTGGCATCACCTGGAAGAACCAGGGGTCAGTCATACAATACTGATATACGCTTACAGCTGAGAAGTACCGGTATTATATAAAAAATAAAACATGATGACAGAGAAATGTCGGTAACAACATATGCTTTATAAATTGTTATAAGCATGAATGAGCCTTTATAACGTGTCAAAAAGCTGTTACTGTTACTGAAATGTTCTTTTTTGTTAACCCTGTATTATTGCTCTGACCACCCACCTGCTGGTCCCTTCTCCTGATGGTGTCGTAGGTTGAGAAGCGTGTACGTGGGGCAGTCACAGCCGGGGTGAAGTAGGGCACGGGGCTGGTACTCCTGCTGTTGTAGCTGTTAAACAGGTTCAGCTCTGACGTGGCTGGAGACATCACCTCCTGCATCTAACGGAGAGGAGAGGAGAGGGGGGAGGAAGGAGAGGAGAGGAGAGGAGAGGAGAAGGGAGGGGGAGGAGAGGAGAGGAGAGGGGAAGGGAGGGGGAGGAGGGGAGAGGAGAGGAGAGGAGAGGAGAGGAGAGGAGAGGAGAGGAGAGGAGAGGAGAGGAGAGGAGAGGAGAGGAGAGGAGAGGAGAGGAGAGGAGAGGAGAGGAGAGGAGAGGAGAGGAGGAGAGGAGAGGAGAGGAGAGGAGAAGACAAACAGGTAAATGGGCTATACAATAATATAATGATTATTCGCTCTCTAAGACAAACAAGATATTAGTAAAACAAGTTGTTTCTGTACCACATAATCCCATTTTGCTGAGTATCTTACTTTATACTCTGACATCCGGTACATGCCAGGGTTGTACTCCGTGGAAGCCGCTGTAGCGTAGGGACTGTTGAACGCCCTGGGGGGACTCTCAAAACCTCCCAGCTGGACAACAGACAGAAACATTCCATTGATAAAACAAATCAATAAAAACAAAATGAAAACGTTGTCTTTGACAATGCTATGCCAAGGATTCACTACTAGTGAAATGGAAAATATTATCCATGGTCAATTCCAATATAGATTTTAATATTGATGTTATTGTAAAGCCTGTTGTACACCAGCAGATGGCAATGCATCATACAGGTCAGCACAGCAGTTGGGAGCAGACAGACAGTTGCTGATCTGCTTAAGTCTACAGGCAGCATCTGGCGCTGATCACACAGCCACTCGGAGCTCTATCTATCAGTTTAATTAGAGTGGGTTGACAACCTGCCGTTCCCCTGGTCCCCATTCCCCCCTGGGCAGAACTGGCCCATGGAGGCCCAAGCCCCAGCCCTATTACAGATCCTCAGCCATGTCTGATTCCCCTGGCCCTTAGCAGTGCTGGCCCCACCACCACCCTTGAATGATTCCACTGGCCCCTGGAGGCCCAAGCCCCAAACCTGTCTTATTCCCCTGGCCCCAGTACCAGCCCCAAGTGGCCCCAGGCCCCCGTCCCTCACCCTGTCGGACATGGTGTCCCAGTCCCGTGAGGCCAGAGACTCCAGGGACCCGCGGTAGTTTGGCACGAATCTGGAGCTAGTGCTGTCCCAACGGGAACTGTTCCTGGGTTCTCTCCCATTCCCGTTCTCTCCCCCAGACGTTCCATTTGTATCCCTGGAACCGTTCCCCATCATGTCTCCACCCAGGAACAGCTGGTATTTGGGGTTCTGGCGGACTTTGACGGGATTGGATGGCTCATCTTCAGATGAGGGACTTTCAGGCCTCTTGTTGGGGTCAAAGTCTGATTCCTGGAGGAGGAAGAGGAGGAGGAGGAGGAGGAGGAGGAGGAGGAGAAGAAGAATATATTAAATGGATGGATGGAGGGATGGAGAGAGGGTGAGAGGGAGAGGGAGAGTGAGAGAGAGAGGAAGAGGGAGAGGGAGGGAGGATGGGAGAGAGAGAAAGAGAAAGAGAGAGCAGATTAAATCAATAGCATAGCTGTTGACAGACCCGTACAGCACAGCACAGCACAGGGAGCATTTGATGGTATTTGAAGGTGCCGTATGTTCAGGCGCGAGATTGTATCACGTGCAAATCAACCAATGAATTCCACTGAACACACATGCAATGGTGTGATGTGAACATTAGTGACATCAACGTACAGCAGAGTGGTAACAACATCAACAGACAGCACAGCAGAGCATGCTGCAGTTAGGGTCAGGGTTAGCAGACAGCACAGCAGAGCATGCTGCAGCTCATTTTGACTGAGTGCCTCCAGTTATGAACATTCCATCAGTTTGATACATTGGGGTTAGATGCCAGGGTCAGGGTTAGGGTTAGGGTTAGGGTCAGGGTTAGGGTCAGGGTCAGGGTTAGGGTCAGGGTCAGGGTCAGGGTCAGGGTTAGGGTTAGGGTCAGCGTTAGGGTTAGGGTCAGGGTTAGGGTCAGGGTTAGGGTCAGGGTCAGCGATAGGGCTGGGTCAGGGTTAGGGTTAGGGTTAGGGTTAGGGTCAGGGTCAGGGTCAGGGTCAGGGTCAGGGTTAGGGTTAGGGTCAGGGTCAGGGTTAGGGTCAGGGTCACGGTCAGGGTTAGGGTCAGGGTGCAGATGCAGGAATTTGTTGACTGCTATTGGTGACACATGCACAGACGGATGGACGGACTGATGCGCACGCAATTGTGTTGATTGCTATTGTTGTGGACAGACAGACAGACAGACAGGCCATGCTGTGTGATCTTCATGCAGAGAGTGATCACGGGTGGACGTGGTCTCGGACGCCAAGCGATCAGTGATTGGTGTGGTCAGTTCTTGGCCCTATTTAGAGGTCTACTTACCGAACCCATTCCAGAACCGGCCATAGACTCTCTGTGAGAGCCACCCTGGTTCTGGCCCTGGCTCTTCTGTGAATGACTGTCTGAAGGACTGCTGGGCTGTGGCGAGCCTTTCTTCGCCCCGTTAAGGCCGGGCTGAGACTCTCTGTGTGGAGGGGTCACTTTGATAGAAGGTACCAGGTTCTTGTTCTCTACGGTGGTGCTGCTGGGAATGTCTGGGTTGGACTGGGAGGTGGACTTGACCACTGTCTTAGTCTCTGTGGTGCCAGTCCTGGCTGTGGACATCCTGACTGGGCTCTGGGTCTGTACTGTGGTAATACTGGGAGTGGGTGTGTTTGTGTTGGACTGGGAGTTCTGATAGGCCAGTACCTCCTCAGTTCTGGCTGTGGACATCCTGATTGGCCGGTTAGAGTCTTCAGGCAGGGATCCGCCCATTGACAGACCTGGTGAGCCGTTTTCATTGACTGACGAGGGCTCTGAGCCTGAGAACTTGTGGATCAGGTCCTTGACACTCCCAGAGCGGGTCAAGTTAGATCCTCTGGACAGCGCCGTTCTCTTATTGGTCCTCCAGGCCTTCTCTTCCTCCTCCAATGAGCTGCTCTGGGTCTTCCTCGGACCCCGTAGAGAAGGAACCTCAGTTGGGGACTTGAAGTTAGACAACGTCCCTATGGTGTGGCCGTTCCTGTTCACTGAACTTCTGCCTTGCTCTGCAGTCACGCCAGGGCTGCTAGGGCTGGATACTCTCCTTGTCTCTTTAACGGCAGTGGTTTCCTAAGACACAAATCTATGGTTTCATCACAGGCACAGTGGGGCTCCGGGGTGAGGTTTCCCCTACGTACAGGTCTAGGATCAGCTTCCCCTTCCCCAATCCTAACCTTAACCAGTAGTTGGGGGGAAATGCAAAGCTGACCCAGGATCAGCATCTAGGGACAACTTCACCCTACTCCCACGGTGGGAAAGAGGGTTGAGCTTGGCATGTAACGATGACGTCGGTCTGGGACCGTTTACTCCTGTTGTTTTCATTGGCTGTTACATACGTCTTCCTTTTAAAAAGGTCAGTAGCAGAAAGGGCAAAACCATTCCTGCTTTTATTATGAAATATCCCTCTTCCTAATTCACTCATGGCTGGACAGGAGAAATACTGACTGATATCATGGAAGAACATTACACCAGAAAAGGCCCTGCTGGGGTGAGGCAAGAGGCGACCATTAGATGGTAGCTGATCCAGAACTGTGTATCTGAGTTTGTCCTCAATACACTGAGTTGTAACCTGCTCTCTTCTGTGCCAGTTGAATGGCTCACACCATATTACAGCTTCCAGTGGAAAGGATCCCAGTTTTATTACAGTCTTAACTCTGTAACCCACAGAGGACATAAGATGGTGTGATAGTGTGTCCCTGTAAGACTGTGTCTCTTCATTCAGAGCCAGTCACCAGGGACCTTAGACTTCCGGTATTCTGAGCTGTTAGTTTGTCTAATGTAATTACATTATCGCGTCATGTTTTCCATGCTTAGGGGGATTAGAGAGTCGAAAAGCTACAAATTCACAATATATAAGCTCTATCTCTGTGTGTGTGTGTGTGTGTGTGTGTGTGTGTGTGTGTGTGTGTGTGTGTGTGTAATTAACGAGATAGCTGTGGTGTCGATGTGTCAAGGTGAACCCAGGCATATGAAATTAAACTGTAAATCGCTCTGGATTAGAGCGTCTGCTAAATGACTAAAAATAAAATAAAATAAATAAACGGGCCCCCAACGCAGAGCAGAGGACACACACACACACACACACACACAAATACACACACACACACACACACAAATACACACACACAAATGTACACACACACACACACACACACACAAACCCACTTCTCAAAATGGTGTTCCATTCCAACACCGATAGCAGTGACCAAAAACTAATCATTTTCCATTTAGCCAAAGAGCTACTTAGCTTAACCAACTTCAATTAATAATCAAATAGATGCAATTACATTACGCTAATACTAGCGCTAATGCTACTTATATAAATGAAGTGGCCAGCGTCCAGCAGCTGCTATGGCTAGGGAAATTAGGCCTGGGCTCTAATCCTGGTCCTGGGTCTCACCTTGCATCCTCCCCCAGGGAGAGGGGGTGGCGGCTGGGGACCACAGGGCCAGTGGGAGGGCCTCTCTGGGGGGTTAGGATCACTTCTAATCACCCTGGTATTTACTGTATTTACAGGCCATGCAGGGATAAGCATTTAAGCCCCTTTTTTAATGTTATTATTTTAGCTGAACCCATGAGCAGAGTTAGTGATGTGTCAATATGAAACACACTGTAACACATGGTAGGCAGGGGTTAGGCAGGGTTAGGCAGGGTTAGGCAGGGTTAGGCAGGGGTAGGCAGGGTTAGGCAGGGTTAGGCAGGGTTAGGCAGGGTTAGGCAGGGTTAGGCAGGGTTAGGCAGGGTTAGGCAGGGTTAGGCAGGGGTAGGCAGGGTTAGGCAGGGTTAGGCAGGGTTAGGCAGGGTTAGGCAGGGTTAGGCAGGGGTAGGCAGGGTTAGGCAGGGTTAGGCAGGGTTAGGCAGGGGTAGGCAGGGGTTAGGCAGGGGTTAGGCAGGGTTAGGCAGGGGTAGGCAGGGTTAGGCAGGGGTAGGCAGGGTTAGGCAGGGTTAGGCAGGGGTAGGCAGGGTTAGGCAGGGTTAGGCAGGGGTTAGGCAGGGTTAGGCAGGGGTAGGCAGGGGTTAGGCAGGGTTAGGCAGGGTTAGGCAGGGGTTAGGCAGGGGTAGGCAGGGGTAGGCAGGGGTAGGCAGGGGTAGGCAGGGTTGGGGTAAATGTCATTTCATTTCAGGCAAGTCAAGAAATAAACTGAAATGAGGAAAATGTGAATTTCAGTTTACTTCCTGAATTGATTGGATGGAACTGGAATAGACCCTAACACTGCTGGTGTGTAAATAGATTCGTTTCAAAGTTAGGCCCAATTCCCTCTATGAGATATGAATGAGAGCCGGAGGAGCAGGGTGGCGAAAGAAAATTCTACTTTTTTCAATTCACATGACATTCTTGTCTTATCTTTCACTGTGGCTGGCAACGCCACATCTCACTAGCCGCTAGGGATTATTTTCCCGAAAATATACCAAGTTTCAATACCGCAAATATTCATATTTACCCAGAGAGTCCTGGGAAATTCCGCAAAAATTTGGAAGTGCCCATTTAAAGCATTTGAAACCAAGATATCGTCACTATGCCAGGGCTTTCCCCAAGGAAGCGGGCTTGGCTGTGCCACTAGGCATAGCCACAGGAAGCAGGTGTGCGGAGGGTGCTGCAATCACAATGAAAAAAATAAAAATATATATTTTATTTATTTATTTGGTCACTGGGCCTTTATTACTCCTGTCTGAGTGGGCAAAAATAGTCGTCAGCAGCTCAGGGAGAAAACATTATCTCAGCAACACTCCCCCCCCCCAACACTTCATGTCTGTGATCAATCCCTGTGGCAGAGATGCCTATGTAGTGAACTGTGCAATAGGAGTATCAAATGAGTGACAGCTCAAATAGCGCACACGTTCTTTTATAGGCTGTACTGCAGGGGTTTAATTAACTGCACCAAAGAGCCCTTTCTGCTACTGACCTTTTAAAAGGAAGAAGTGTGTAACAGCCAATGAAAACAACAAGAGTAAACGGTCCAGACCGACGTCATCGTTACATGCCAAGCTCAACCCTCTTTCCCACCGTGGGAGTAGGGTGAAGTTGCCCCTAGATGCTGATCCTGGGTCAGCTTTGCATTTCCCCCCAACTACTGGTTAAGGTTAGGATTGGGGAAGGGGAAGCTGATCCTAGACCTGTACGTAGGGGAAACCTCAGGCTAGTGCCACGTTGGGGAACATGTTGTAATTTCCCGAGTCTTGTCATTTCATTTTGGGGGTAAATGTGTTAGAGTGTTCCCTGGACAGAGATCCCGAGATCCCAGTTACCCCGTGTTAATACCCACTTTTAATAGGCACTTTTCTTCTCAAATATACATTTTACACCATTGAATAATGCAACCAAACTGTATTACACTCTTGTGTAATGCAACAATTCACAGCATGTAGCCTATTAGTTTTGGTCCAAATGCGAATGTCATCAAAATTTGGTTTATACTCAAACTTCAGGTGGTTAGGCTACCTCTGCCTTTTTAATATAAACATTATTGACGCTACAACTAGGGTCCACAACAATTACACAGGAACTAAGGAAAACAATTACACAGAGAGACCCCTATGTTCAGACTCAGGGCTATCCCCATAGAGGAGACAGACAGACCCCTATGTTCAGACTGAGGGCTATCCCCGTTGAGGAGACAGACAGACCCCTATGTTCAGACTGAGGGCTATCCCCGTTGAGGAGACAGACAGACCCCTATGTTCAGACTCAGGGCTATCCCCATAGAGGAGACAGACAGACCCCTATGTTCAGACTGAGGGCTATCCCCATAGAGGAGACAGACAGACCCCTATGTTCAGACTCAGGGCTATCCCCATAGAGGAGACAGACAGACCCCCTCTCTGCCTTTGCCTCTATTCCTCAGTGGTCCCAGCACATAGCCATATGGTGCAGAGTTAGGAAACACGGCCTGACCCAGATCTCATACAATCCTGTCCTGCTGTATTCCTGTAAACCCTGCCTGCCTGTGAACGCACCGTATGTGTGTCTAGTACTCTCACTAATACTGATCCCTCTATTACCCACAGTTGAATCCCTGGTTAGGGATTATTGCCTCTAAACATAACAACATTTAGCAAAGGCTGTTTTAATTGATATTGTTTACAGATGGTTTGTCATGGAGGCCAATGCCTTTCAATATCATCAGAAAAACTACTCATGATACCCAGTTAAATGTGTGTGTGTGTGTGTGTGTGTGTGTGTGTGTGCTTGCTCGCCCGTGTGTGTATATGTCAAAGAAGCTAAAAGTTGTCAAATCCTTCGTTAATGTGAATATAAAATGTGAAAAATAAATGAACCAATTATTGATCAATAGTGGCCTGACTGTTTGAGTAAGGAACATTTAGGCCCTGGCAATCTGCTTGGATACGGTGTGTTGTCCTGGCAATCTGCTTGGATACGGTGTGTTGTCCTGGCAATCTGCTTGGATACGGTGTGTTGTCCTGGCAATCTGCTTGGAAATACGGTGTGTTGTCCTGGCAATCTGCTTGGAAATACGGTGTGTTGTCCTGGCAATCTGCTTGGAAATACGGTGTGTTGTCCTGGCAATCTGCTTGGAAATACGGTGTGTTGTCCTGGCAATCTGCTTGGAAATACGGTGTGTTGTCCTGGCAATCTGCTTGGATACGGTGTGTTGTCCTGGCAATCTGCTTGGAAATACGGTGTGTTGTCCTGGCAATCTGCTTGGAAATACGGTGTGTTGTCCTGGCAATCTGCTTGGAAATACGGTGTGTTGTCCTGGCAATCTGCTTTGGAAATACGGTGTGTTGTCCTGGCAATCTGCTTGGAAATACGGTGTGTTGTCCTGGCAATCTGCTTGGAAATACGGTGTGTTGTCCTGGCAATCTGCTTGGAAATACGGTGTGTTGTCCTGGCAATCTGCTTGGAAATATGGTGTGTTGTCCTGGCAATCTGCTTGGAAATACGGTGTGTTTGTCCTGGCAATCTGCTTGGAAATACGGTGTGTTGTCCTGGCAATCTGCTTGGAAATACGGTGTGTTGTCCTGGCAATCTGCTTGGAAATACGGTGTGTTGTCCTGGCAATCTGCTTGGAAATACGGTGTGTTGTCCTGGCAATCTGCTTGGAAATACGGTGTGTTGTCCTGGCAATCTGCTTGGAAATACGGTGTGTTGTCCTGGCAATCTGCTTGGAAATACGGTGTGTTGTCCTGGCAATCTGCTTGGAAATACGGTGTGTTGTCCTGGCAATCTGCTTGGAAATACGGTGTGTTGTCCTGGCAATCTGCTTGGAAATACGGTGTGTTGTCCTGGCAATCTGCTTGGAACTACGGTGTGTTGTCCTGGCAATCTGCTTGGAAATACGGTGTGTTGTCCTGGCAATCTGCTTGGAAATACGGTGTGTTGTCCTTATCCTTGTAAATAGCCTTGTATCTCTGCCACCAGTGTCTCCTCTGCTCTGTCCTACCATTACTACACTGTTCTTCAGAACTAGCTGACCGTGCAAGCAACATATTATATAAATTAACCTCTCGCTCTTACTTGTCCCAAGCCATACGACTTCTAGTCAATACAGGGTTTTCACGGTCATGTCTACGATCATTCTGATGTTCAGAATAGACCGTTGTTTCTCTACGTGGTTCGTGTCAACCGTATGAACACAAGACAGACAAGAGGCAAGACTGATTCTGTGAATTCTCATAATTTTGTAATTTCACCAAGATGAAGTCAGTTGTGACAAGAGACTGTTCCAGATGTTTCCATACAGCTAGCTGAGGCTACATCACTGATAGGAAACTGTTCCCGGAACAGATGAACAGACAGACAGTTTCATACAGCTCACTATACACATCTGGGATGAAACTGACAACAGCTGGACTCTGACCAGATAGACCAGTTATATTATACATGTAGCTAACGTTTCCTTTCTGCATATCTCATCTTATCTTATCCTATTGGAGAAGAAATGGTCCAAATGATTATTTAGAAAATAAATGTATCTGTACATGCAATTGACAAACTACTATGCATTTGAAGGCTTATTTTGGAGGAAAAAAAAGATCCTGTTAGATGGTAAGGAAGTAAAACAAGATGGAGAGAAAGCGGGTAGAGTAAGGGGTAATTACCATGTTATTGTCTTGGTGTTCGTGTTCACTCTTCCCCTGCATGTTGTGGTGGGTGACCCTGTAGGAGAAGTCCTGCAGTCGCTGTGCCTCCTGTTGGTCCCTCAGAGCGTCTCTCTCAGTATGTCCTGTAGGGAGGTCAGGGCCTGCTCCAGAAACCGCTGTGTGTCTGTCCGGGCCTGCTCCAGAAACCGCTGTGTGTCTGTCCGGGCCTGCTCCAGAAACCGCAGTCTGTCTGTCCGGGCCTGCTCCAGAAACCGCTGTCTGTCTGTCCGGGCCTGCTCCAGAAACCGCTGTCTGTCTGTCCGGGCTGCTCTCCACTGATATACACACCTGCAGCTCCCTTTGAGCAAGCAACAACCCCTAAACACACACACACACACACACACACACACACACACACACAC